ACACACACACACCATATGTAAACATAGAAGTACCATACTATTATGAAATACTTATGATTATCTGACTGAGGTCCATGCCATTACTTTTTGTTTTTAATATATTATGCATCTTTTTATGTGTCTATATTTATTCGTTTTTTTGTTTGTTTGTTTGTGTTTGTAAAACACTTTGAATTATTGTTCTTTATGAAATGTGCCATATAAATAAATTTGTGCCATACTGTTAGATTGTGTTTTGTCGATGGAGAGTCATGACGTGATTGACTTTGTGTAGGTGATGCAGGACAGAAAGGTGATAAGGGAGATAACGGAATTGGAATTCCAGGAATTTCTGGAGAACCCGGACCACAAGGTACGAGATGCTTAACCTTAACTTTCTGCTAATCATACTTTACCATCATTTAAAAGATAACGGAGTCATTGTGAAGACCAATGAAAAAAAAATGGTGCTATAAGTTATTTTCGACTTCTTACATCAACATTTTCAAAACCCTACCAGGACCAGCTGGCAAGCCTGGCATCGGTAAGGACGGTCAGGATGGGGCCAGAGGAGACGCCGGGGTGCCAGGAACCCCAGGAACCCCTGGAGCCAGAGGACCGCCGGGCACCCCTGGTCTTTGTGATCCTTCAAATTGCTTTAGGCCTCAACCTCTTTACCTGGTTGGCGGGAAGAAGTCCATCAACATCAAGGGTCCATGAACAGAAACCTAGAAACCTTCATCACAGTCATCATCAGGTAGTCCATCTCCGACAAACTTGAAGAGACTTCAGATGGCGAGCAGATGGTGAGAGAAACGAACGTGACAGATGTATAGAGACATACGGATGCAGCTCCTGATGGTGGATCCAGTTCACTTGACTTATTGTTGTACCTTGTACATAAACTAGAAGAAAATGTGTTTGTGCTTTTAGATGGTTTACAGTAAATTGCAGATTAATAAATTAATTGGAAATTGTCGTTTCAGCTCTTGGGCCACAAACTGGTTACACAAACCACTACATTGCAATTCTGCAAGTGTGTTTTTTTGTTTGGGTTTTTTTTTCATAAAATGTGATTTTAAAGACCAATTTTAGACATG